CCACTTCTCGCTTTCGGGGCGCGCCCCGGGGTCTCGCGTTGTGGGATTTGGTCCGGGACGGGTCCGCACCCCCCCGCATCGCCTTCTCGGGGATGTGGTAACGCCTTTCCCGCCTCTTCCTCGCCCCCGCAGTGAGGCCTTCGGAGTCTCTCCGAAGCCCCGTTGTTTCGCCTGTCGTGCTCTGTGGGCCTCTTCCATCCGTCTCCACCCGTGACCCGACCCACTGCAGCGCCTGCCGCGGGCTTAGGTAGCGCCAAAAGCCGCCCTCGGTCGCCCCTTGGTACCCTCCCTGATGCTGGTGCTGGATGTTTTGTTGGGGTTTTTTTCTGTCTGCCGCTGTTTCTGACAACTCTGGGTTCTCTTTCCTGAGTTGCACTTGGCAGTTTTGTGTTCACCATCTCTTACTAGAGGCAGAAACGGCATTTCCAAAGGTACATAATAATGTGTGTTAGTTAGAGACTGCAAGGTCAAAGAAAAGTGATTTCTGCTTGCAGTGGAAGGTGTCATGATTTATAAGAGTGCCTGGGGCTCCATTGCTCGTGTTTTTCCTTTCAAGATCATGCGTTAATATTAGTTCCATTTTGTTTCTGGTGTGGATGGGATGTGATTATTTTGGACAATGTCCTGGCAATTTCATTAGTGAGAAGTCCAAGTTCAGAGCTCCCAACTCCCACAGTTAAATGAACTGAGACATTTTGAAGGTCAGGCTGTTAACCAAAATGCCAGTTTTGATTGGCCGACATATGACATTAATAATAAAATTGTTATCTTTAACTGCGAGACTGCAGTGTAAGGAAGAAGTGGATTTCTAATTCTCATATTATTTAGAATTAAAATAACTCCAGTCTCAGAGATACTGATAAACTGGAGCAGGTCCTGCAGAGGGCTGTTAAGGTGGTCACGGGCTGGAGCTCGTGGTGTGTAAGGGAAGCAGGAAGAGCTGGGTTTGTTCAGTCTGCAGAAAAGAGGGTAAAGATGATCCAACTGCCTAATGGGGACTTAGCGAGAAGGAGCCAATGCACAGAGAAGGGGTGAGAGGCAGCAAGCACAGACTGTGACAGAAGAAATCCCACTTGTCCAGTTCTAGTCACCTTGGTTCAAGAGAGCCATTAAAAAAATGGAGAGGGTCTAGCGGAGGACCACCAAGATGATTAGACTTGATGTGGAAAAAATGCGAAGGATTTGGGTTTATTCAGCCTCAGGAAGGGAAGGCTCGGGAGGATCTAATCCCAGTACTTCCTAAAAGGTGGTTATAGAGAAGACAGAGGTACTTTCTTAGGGATGCACAGTGACAGGGCAAGAGGCAATGGGCACAAGCTTAAAATAAAATCTTCGCTGTCAGAACAATTAAACTTTGGAGTAGGTTGACTAGAGAGTGATGGAATCTCCCTCACTGGAAATACTCAAGACTTGGCTTGATGGGGCCCTGGATGGTGTAATCTAAGTCCCTGCTTTCAGTAGAAGGTTGGACCCGATGGTCTCCAGAGGTCCCTTCTAATGTCGACTTTCCTATAATCCTATGAAAAAGTTGTTCACAAGGGGAGTAGTTAAGCACCAGGACAGGGCCAAGAGAGGTTGTGAGATCTCCATCCTTGGAGATGTTCACGATTTGACTGAACAGTGCTGTGAGCAATGTGACTGGCCTATTAGAGCAGAAAGCTGGACCAGGAGACCTTAGAGGTCCCTTCTGACATGTGTCCTTCTATGATTGCATGAAGATGAGGTTCTCTGTACCTGCTTCTTATCCTCAATGTTTTCAATCCTGATGATTTTTTTTCTTCGACTTAAACTAGTGCAGTATTATGCAGTACTAATTATTTCTACTTTTTTAATCACAAGCCATTTAGTGATTATGGGCACATCTGCCAAAATTGGTATAGTTTATATACACTGTATTGAATATTAATTGCTTTTTGAGCTGACTTTCTTCATTGGAATTAGGGATGCTCTAAAGTATCTTACCGAAGCTCTTCAGTCCATCGATGAAGTAGAACTTGACGATGTAATTGAAAATGTCATTGATGCCGTTGAAAAACAGCCTTGTAAGTAAACAATTTCTTTTTCTTAAGCTTGCTAAGTTTATCTTGCGCTCATAATGTTAGTTAGACAAAGACAGAGTTACTGGCGGCGTGTGCACTAAGGTGTCATTCTAGTCTACCGGCTTGATAAAGATAAATGTATTCGTTGACATTTTGTTTTGTTAAATGCTGAAGTTTGTAATGTCAGAAGAAGATAGTATAATTTTGCCATTTAAAAAGTTGGCAGCCTGGTACCTCCTGACTTTTCCAAGAGTTGTGAAATTTTTCCATGCCAGTTACTAAAAGCACCTAGCTGAGTTTGTGTGGACATCTTTGCGTCTGAAACTATCATTTTAAATCTTAAAATAAACCAAAGAAATAATGAGAAATGAATTAACTTGTTATTCAGTAGTCCAGGTCCAGGAAGGGGTTAGGGTTGTTGACAGCTATAATCTGAGGAGCCTAGCTGTGACTGCAGGAAAGAAACAGTTGCATTCCTTCATTCAGAGATCACTGCCCTTGCATCCAAGTGGAGTGGGAGATGCAAGTGCACCAGTATAATGATCCAGCATATTAACTTAAACCAACTGTGGATGGAATTTAACCATCACCTGGATGTTCTCTGAAGCAGCAAGGCAGATGCTGATGTTCTGTTATGCCAACCTGATCTTGTGATAGTAACATTGGGCAGAAGGTGCTGATAACAGTTGGGGCTCTGTAGCAGTGGAGAAGCTGTACCTGCTTGGCATGTGAAAGTACATCAAGTTCCATGAATTACCGGGTCCAAAAGTGCAATCCAGAAAACTCCTGGAAAATCCCATAAAAACATGTGACACTCAAAGAGCTGAGCTTTTCCTGGTAAAGTTCGCGCGATCCATTTGGTTCTGAGCATGCCTGAAACTCCATGATCTTGGCAGGGAGTATTTTGTCTGGGGACTACCTCCTGCTTAATTGGGACGCTATGTCCTGAGGTACACAGATCCAGTGTCCCTGCTCCTAAGCGCCATGAAAGGCATGGGGTAGTAGCTCAAAATATACCTGACACAATCTGACAGCACAAAACATAGGAGTTGTAGCACCTTTAGTTAAAGAATGTGACTGATGGAGGTGGCACTGATGCCTGACATATATGTGTGTTTACTGATCAGAGCTCATGAGAACTAGGAAACGGGCTCAATTCCAGTTTTTGGCCGGGGAGATTCAAATCCATATAAATGTGATCTAAAATAAATACTAGGCCTTAGATGAGTTCAGGAAACCTTCCCAGCCTATCCTATTTAAACTGAATTAAATCAAAGGTGGGCACATGCTCGCTTTGCAGTTTTACTAGAGCACAGACTACAGAAGTTACGGCTTTATGTTCTTACTCTAGCCATGGGATAACAGATCAGAGCTGATCAAACAGGGAGTAAAAGCAGTTTGAAGAACCGGTCCTGATCTAGCATAAAGCCTGCTGGTACAAATTAACACATCCACATTTTGAACAAATTTGAGTCTGTACAAGAAGCCACTGTAGTACATGCAGTCAGCATACCCGCCAACACCGGTCTTTGTCCAGGGCGGAATTTTGTGCTATAAATTCCCATATTGTCCAGCTAACGCCCGTGAGTTGTTTGAGGTTAGGGGTAGAGATGCAATTCAGACATGCTGGTCTCTTCTGTGATTCCTGCTAGCTCCCTCTGTGCCCCTTTTGCTCTGCTATTCATCACTGTCCTACAGGAGTTGTGATTTTACGTCCCCTGCCCTGAATAGGGAACTCAAGGGCAGGTTTTCATGTACTGGTTTCTGTTCCAGGAGCCCAGCAGTTAGGCTTGGAAATGCTGACCAAGTCCTTTTGTGAATCTGCATTGATTGGTCTTCCCTTTAACTTCAGCAAAACATTAGTGTTCAGAAATATTTTTTAATTTCAACTATCAGTTTAAATCCATGAAGACAACAATGTGCCTATCTCCAGAATTGTGTTAAACTGTTTGAATACTTATTTATGACAGCAATCTGTGTGATAATGTTCTGGAACAAAATTAACCTCCAGAATGTGAAAGCTCAGATCTAACACATTTGTAGTATATTTGGCAGCTTTGCATAAACTATAATTGTCTTGTTCTCCATGTTTAGTGAATTAATGGTGGGCACAGTATGTGTGTGGGTTATTTTTTCACTAGAGATGTAGCCTTCTGGTTAGAATATTAAGTGATCCATTTGTAAAGAGAAAACAGCGCGTGTCATTAGCTTACTGAAAATATGCTTATTTGTTTAATATATTCCTCTGAGAAGACCGAACCATTTTTCGTAAAATATTTGAGACCTACTTACTTTCTTACTTACTACTTTCCATAGGCTGCAGTTTTAATCCTTTGAAATCTTCTCTTCAGTGTCATCTAATATGATTGAACAATCTACCGTGGAAGCAGCCATCCAAGAATGTAGCCAGGCATCAGATGAAACTATGTACGGTGACAATTTTTTTTAATTTGAGGTTTATGGGAGTTGGTATGCATTGCTTTATTTCTTCTTGGGAAATAAATGTCAGGCATTTTCTGCAGTGCTACACATGCAGTAATTGCTTTGTGCTTTTGTCTTCCTGGTACTGCCTTTGAAGGTTAGTAATGTTCCTTCTTAGAAAATTTGTTCTCATGGATAGGCCTCCGGGGGATTCTAAATATAATGCTGACATTCTGGAATTAAAATGCTATGGTTATGTGTTACGTGCAATACAGGTTGCATATTAACCAATAAAATAAACAAATAGTTACAATGCAGAGAGAACTTGTTACTTCTGTTAATTTCTTTATTTCTTTTTCTCTAGTTCAAAATTATCTAAGGTTATTCTTGTGCCTTTCATAAGCTACTTCTTTTCTGAAAGCACTTGGAAAAGTTTTTCTCCATGGTGCTTGTTTCTGCTTTTTTGTATAGCAGGGCTGTTTTTTGAAAAGCGTGATTGATTTCACTCTCTGATAACAAAGTGGCGAGCAATTGCTTGAGTTTCTGAGAACTTTATTTGTGATTATGATGAATGTGTTTCCTTTAGTGTTCACGTTGTGTATTGACATCATAATGCAAAGCATGAAAATAAATGGTTTGCTAGGCATGTCAGTTAGATACTGTGATCCCACAGTTTCTCAGTATGAAGCAAATTTGTTTTATACTTTTCTCCCTGTCGTTGGAACCTTTATGATGCAGATGGTTTGAGTGTGACTTTTCTTTGTGTCGCTTTATATACTTAATGTATTTTTCGCTCCAGAAGTGAAGAGAAATCTGTATGCACAGATTCTCAGTGCAGAGTCCTGAAGGGAAAAGCTCTACAGATCACAGGGCCCGCCTGTACAACTCTCTTGAATTATGTTGCAGAAAGCTTGAAGGCAAAGTTTTGCAAGAAATGAACTCTGAAGCCTAAGACATCAGTGTCTGACAGGCAGTGATGGTTGTCCTGTGCTTGTAAGCCTTAGTGAAGGTTCACGGGATAATTTTATCTACTCTGATGAATTTGATCCACTTACAGTAAGAGGGAAGCGAGAGGCATCACAAGAGAGAGCTGAACCAGTGAATATAATGGGATGTATCAACTCGGTTAATAGTCTGAAGAGTTGTGCGTGTCCATTGTTTAAACCTCTTCACATTTACCGTGCCAACGCTGTTCTCCTATCAAAAAAGGTAGCAGAGGATGGTAAGGGAAGATGTACCCCTCTCTCATTTCAAAATGAACTTCTGAAGAGTTTCCTTTTTTGAATTAGAAGATGCAGTAGTATCCAATAGGTAGAGTGATGCGGCAGAAATGGTGATAACGCGAAGTGATAGTGAATAAAATGAATATAATTTTATTCAACATGTTTTGTTACTGTTTGTTTTATCCACTTCAGATAATGTTGTAAATGTATTCTTATTTCAGAGAAAATGTTTTCAACATTATTGGAGCCTTTGATATTCCACGTTATATTTATAATTCAGAAAGAAAGAAGTTTCTACCGTAAGTCTTGCATATTTTAAGCTTCAACCACTTCTTGTTTTAAGAAAAAAGCCTCATTTCTATATGGTTGAAAGTCTGTTTTCTAATCTTTCCCTCCTGGGTCTGCTCATTTCAAGCCTGAGTGAGAAAGTGAGACGATTTTGTTTCGTAGTCTCTAAAGAGCTAGTCAGACTCTATGGTAAATGCTGGCTCATAAATAAATGTGCCATTGGGTTTTTCCCAGGCTGGTAGGATGAAACTGAAACGAGGACCTGTATCTCCTGTGGCAGTGTATTCTGTGCTGCCTATGAGGTTACTGGCTCTGAAACTTTGGTGGCTATCAGTAAAATGTCCAACCATGTTTGTGCCATCTAATGAATAAAAGAGACAGTAAAGTTAAGGACATATGTCACTAATTGTAGTCTGTTTTTTTTTTTTTTTCACATTTGGCTGTTTACTTTTTTTAAAAAAAAATTTGGTCTGTCTGTTGCATGTATTTATTTCTTAGACTGTAGTTTGTAACTCCCTGAAGCCCTGGCGGATTTCTAAGGAGAGCTACAAAAGCTAAAAAAGAAAAATTAGGAGCAACTGCTGATTCCAGAGGTTGGAGAAAGGAAGAAGTAACTGGAGGAATTGGTTGTAAATATTTTGCTAGCTAAAGAATTTACCTTTAACAGCAAGCAGCCCAGGCTGCTGAGCCAAAAAAAGGCTGTGCTTTTAAAAAGCTTGAAGTGATGTTAGCTGAGGAATGGGTAGTGGTGTTCATTGTGAGGGGTTGCAGTGACCTTCATGTAATGTGCAATTCATATTCTAGCCTTGGTCCATGATTCTGCCAGTCCAGCAAAAGCAGTCCGTGTGTTTGCAGTAGGAGTTTAATTCCAGTGCCACTTTCCAGGCTGTCGGCAGCAGAGAACTCCACGAAGACAATCTGCTAAGCAAGAGGAAGAAAATACTCTTGTTCATGACCACTTAAAAGACTGCTTTTTTAAAAACCGATTCCTGCAGAGTCCCATTCAGGTGGAAAGATAAATCTCAAAGCCTGTGAGTTAGAGGGAAATTAAATGGATGTAGCCTTCAAAATGCAGAAACACAGGATCCCTAGCAGAAATCTTCCTCATTGAGTAAATAAATTACGCAGTAGTGTTATAGCTTTTGCAGCGTCCTACAACTTTTAAATCAATAGGTCATTTTTGTGTGTGGAATGTACCTTTTCTAATCTTGATTGTGTTAAACTTCTTGCAGTCTGTCAATGACCAACTTTCCTGTACCAAATTTATTTGGAACTGCCAGAGATAAAGCGGAGTTGTTTCGTGAACGCTACTGCATCTTACAGCAGGTCAGAGAAAGTTTTGCTTTGTTTAACAAAATAGACAAAATGTTGTTTTTGATATTCTTACATGTACAACAGTGCTTTGCGTTGAGGTGCTTTTGTGAAGTACAGTTTAAATAAAATCTGAATAAGAACAGGATCTGTACTAAGGTTTAGCAGTCTTCTCAACTGTCACCTTACAGCATGATGGATTCCTGTGTTTCTGCATTTTAGCATCATGTTGCAAGAAGGGATTATGTTTTTTTACGTGTGTCTTTCTCTTTTCCCTCCTGTAGTCTGGCTCTGTGCTATGTTTGATTAGTATGTCATTGTATGTGGTGTTTATTGAGATAATACAAACCCGAAGCCCCGGGAAGCTCTCATTCAGGCTCTCCTTGAAGCATTGAAACTCACTTCTGGTTTAGTTCATTTATTATTTTTCCAGTTTTCAAAATGCCCAGAGAGAGCCAGCCACCCCTTGTCATCTCTTGGTGGCACATGCAGCTTGTCTTGTGTTGTGAGCAACTTCAGAACAGGATCCTCCAACACGACTTGCTCTGCATCACCGTGACAGTAGCTGCAGGTACTGACAGCAGCTGTAGGTAGTGGCTCTGGACCAGGCTGTGCACACAGCCAGAAAGAGTCAGTCCCTCAGCACTCGCTGCCTGATTATCCCTCAGAACAGGGATAATCAGTCACAACCCTGTTCCTTCCTTTCTTCCACTCACCCAGTACGTTGGGATCCAGCCCCATGTCACCTGCCTGCTTACTGCGCGCTGTGCTCTGCCCTGCCTCTGTCATGCAGCCCAGCGGGAGCAGTGATGGGATGGGGAGTGAGTTGCTGATCAGATGACTTGGTAGCTGTTTTTCGGGTGTCTGCACTAACTGCAGTGGACTGATCCACAGCACAGATCCCGCTCGGTGCTGGCAGGTACTGTGCAAACCTAACTGCCCGTGCGCAACCCTGGCCTGAAGTGTGAGCAAAGTGCCTGGACACAGGCAGACAGTGAGCACGGCTTTTTGCCTGTGCTGCCCCATAGGCAGCCGGGAGGCACCCAGCTGCCTGCGTAAACTGCTTGTCCTTTGGACCGTGTGGTAGTTGCACGCACAGGGTCAGATACCCCAGAGCAGCAACAACTCTCTATCAACCAGGGGATTTGCTGCCACTAGGAGTATGTGTACTGCAATTTGGGAACCTCTGCTCTGGAAGACCAGTTAACCATGAACTGAAGAAGCTTTAGTTCATACAAACAGTGATCAGGATTGGTGAAACCTGCTGGAATTGGCATACTCACACAAAACAGCAGCAGCAGGTTTCCATAGGGTATATCCTGAAGCCTCCTTTTCCATAGGGTATATCCTGAAGCCTCCTTTTCCTAGACTGTATTGTGCTATTGCACCTCTTTGCCTGATGGTTTCACATAGACTCTCTGTTGTACAGGTTTTGTGTTTGGTTGTCATACATACTCCTTTCTGACCTCCAGAAAAGTGAAGGTTCAGGTCACTATGTGGGTGAGGGCTGCTGATAGGAATTACTGCGTGTGTTACATGGGCTAGTAGCGATGGGTTTGTTTCAAGGGGAAGCTTTCAGACTGCATGAAAAACAGTGGAAGAAGTGGAAATTTCTACAATGTATTTTCTTCACGCTCTCTGCAGTTTATCTCTTAGTGTAGCTTGCTCCGGTTATTAAAAAAAAAAAAAAATTTGCTTACTTTTAATAGGCCCTGCCCTGAAGAGATAACCTGCTCTTTTCCATGTAGTGAGCTTTTAATACAGTTTGCCTTCCCTTGCTCTCTCACCCCTTCCTTCCAGGTAGTCAGAAATAACTTCTTTTAAAAGCATTACAGGTGCTTTGCTGTTACTTTTTGGGCTTAGTTTTATCGTCCAGTATTATTGATCATCTATTTCTTAGAAGCAAATTCTTGTCAAAAGAACTGATTATGCTCAACAAATTAAACGTTGCTGGATAAAATAGAGAACTTTAAAAAGTATTTTGTATAGTGGTTGTAATGAACTGGCTTTTTGACAGTGCTTATTTGTTTTTAAACTGGATTACTTCAATTTTTGTTTCTGCAGAGGACTCATAGGCATGAGTTGTTTACTCCTTCAGCAGTTGTTGCTCATCCTGATGATAGTAGGAGCAAATTCCAGGTAAAAAATCTGTTTTTTTTTCTTGCAAAGGGAGCTGTACTTGTGTTACACTTTAATGCAGTAATAGTTCTCCAGTGACATTTTAGTTTTACTTCCAATATGGGTAATCAGTGGAAATGAGTTATTTTCCATCATTTTTAGCCTGTGTGTCAAAAATGCGGTTATTTGGCTCAGATCAGCATGATGACCAGCCACTCAAAAGCAGCTATGAAGTGCAAGAGAAAAGTGGCTTCCTGAGGTGGAAGGGCATTAGCTGGTCAGCTTATTACACTTTGCTTCCCTCTGCTTGGGGATTCTTTCCCTGATGCTTTCTTTCATAAGCACTGAATTCACTAACCTACAATTGAGTAAGGTCATAACTTTAGTCTGTTCTGTTCCCATCTCAGCTTTCTCATATTAAATGGTCTCGCATGTATTTTTTAAAAAAGATGAATGTGGGTGTGTATCACTGGGTACCAAATAACAGCTCTTGCTTTGCTCAACTTTCCTGTTTCTCCCTGTTCAGAGCATGCCATCATGTAGAAAAAAGCAGCTGACCTTAACTGAGTCGGGCCTGCATCTCCATCCAGGCTTTATAGGCATCTTTTTCCCTTGGCTGCTTCCTATCCTCCCTTGTCAGCAGTGGCAAATGCATTGCTTATGCTGGTGTTGTAGGAGGATTCTCTCTCTTAACTGCAGCTTGACAGACCAAACTAAGTTTGTGCAGAAACCGCAGACAGCATGCTATGCGATGTCACCTGCATTACTCCGGAGTGTTCTCTGTCATCCATCTCAGGTTCTTCGATTGAAGTAATTAGTGTTGCTGTATGGGTGCAGGCTGGCCCTGTGGTTCAGATTGGATCATGCTGAGGATCCAATTACTACAACTGACATTCTTAGGCAAGAGCAGAAATTGCTCCTTGTTCTTTTAAGTTTTAATGCAATTTTAAGGAAAACAATCACAATAAATATTTACTTGCTAAGCAGTTCTTTATGCTAGCAGCCATTATTGAAAATCTTTTCCTAAACTGTGCTACATTTGACGTTCAGAAATGTGTCCCTGATTTCTGTAATGAGCCTGAATTCTCTCATAGCTCATTTGTGTATTTATGTAAACACATGTGCTGTGTGGTGCTTTGCCTTGGTTGCTTAAGAATAGGTATATGGAGAGTTTGATTTAACTTTTATGTGATTTTTTGCCTTTGGTTACAGCTTAAAACAATAGAAACTCTATTGGGCAATACAGCTAAAGTGGGAGAAGTGATTGTGCTTGGGATGATAACTCAGCTCAAGGAGGTAGGTTGCTTTTTATTGTGGAGTATCTAGGTCGCCATTCATTCAGTGTTATAATATATTAGAAAATGAGAAGGCTTGAATATCTCACCACTTTATCCTGTCATATAAGTCAGTGGCAGAACTCACATCAGTGTCAGTGGCGCAAGATCCATTCCCTAAGAAGAGACTTTTCCACAAGCAGCTGCTGCTAGTGTGTGAGGGAAAACGTCTTTCTCTTCTCAATACAGAATTTTCTAACACTTTATGTCAGCAACAGAACCAGTTACATTTTCTAGGCATGCTTCTTGAAATGCTGGAGCTTCCAATGACTGTGTTTGGACTTGCCATGGCATTGGACTGTGACTGGGGGTGTGTGTGCACCAGCAATCCAAACTGCAGCAGCTGAAAGGGAAGGTGCTAAGATACACTTACTATAAACTACATTGTTTTCAGTTCTGCCAGTGTGTTCTAAGCTTACAATATTAAAACTGGCTAAATTATTTCTAGATGCTGACTGATTGAAGCATTTATGTGTTTGGGTATATTTTGCTTTATTAATTAATCCTGTTTTTTAGGGGAAATTTTTCCTAGAAGACCCTACAGGAGTCGTCCAGCTAGACCTTAGTAAAGCAATATCCTTTTTCTGTGATGTAAGAGTTGAAGAAATTTCCTGTAGACCTGGAGAATTTCAGATGGAATAATAAATCAGTACTGACCATTAAAAATTACGTGTTGAGAATTGCAGCTCTGACTTCCTCCTTCTTTTCAAATTACTTGGTTGCTGCAGCTCAGGGCCCTTTCACAGAGACTGTTAGGACTAGGTTAGTATTCCTCCTAGCGGAAGCAGAGTGTGTTCCTGTTTGTGGGCTGTTGATGAGCTTACCTGCTCAGCTACCAGGTGATTGCCTAGCTCTTAAGGCAGCCTGTGAACTGTCAGTAGTGTCCAAATGTATCACACCACCTGGAAAGCAAACTTTGGCTAAAGAACTAGTTTAAGAGTCCTGATGTAAGAAAAATATATTTCTTAACCTTTCTGCACCAGTTCCACAGTGGTTTATATACTGAATCATGCTTTGTTTTGGCAGAAGGTAAAGCAGACTATTTTTCTTAGCTTGTAATAAATTACTCTGTTAATGGCTGTTGCTGCAGTTACATGTCTGCCAGATGTGGCTGAACAGACAAGTCTCATATTGATGAGGCTTGACCATAAGCTGAGTTTGTGACTGAGATTTTTGGCCATAAGCCTTTCCTGTTACTTCGTGGGCTCTGGAGGCAGAGAACGGAGCTCTGCGAAATTTGTGGTTTTCAGCGATGTCGGTGGGATGTGAGCATCTGTAGCAGCTTTGAGGATTGGCCTTAGTTAGCCTGGCTCCAACATGCTTGGAGGACATATGACTAGATTAGGAAGACAGACTAGAATAACCAAACAGTATGATTTAACAATCTGAAAATGCTGCTTTCTGTTGGCAAAGCTTTGGTCCTTCAGAGGCTTTGGTGAGTCTTCTCATTAAGACGATGCAAGGGCTTGCAGTTTTGAAGCTTTGGACATGTTTTAGCAAAATTATGGTCATTTCTGTTTGTAGGATATTACTCTGTGCAATATACATAATCCCAGTCTATTTCCTAATAATGTATTTTATGTTTAAAATTTGTAAAATAAACTAAATAGAAGTCAAGAGCAAGAATGATAGTGGGGACAAGTATCACCCTGTTACTTCTGTCCCTCTAACAGGTGGGACAGTTCTCGAGAACGCGTGCCATTTGATGGAGACTCTTCTGGGGCAGGGCCGGCAAAAATGATTCCTGTTCCCCTACATTCTTACTTGGTTGGGTTGAGAAGGTTGTTTATGTGGCTGTGCAGCAAATCCATTCAAAGAAGTGTCTGGGGTAAAAAAAATAGTTGGGTTTCTTTCTCAGCCTTTTTTTCAGCCAGTTAGTTCCCTGGTCTGGTTCACCACTAAACAGCACAGGGACCGGAGCTATCACAAGAGAGGGATTGATGGAGGCTGGGACTAGCTATGCAGCACAGCTGCCAACTGTCTGACTAATGTCTAGGACATGATGTTGTTAGAAAAGCTAAAGGTTATTTTGTTGTTAAAAAATCTCTTAGGTTGGTATGAAGATGAAGTTTTTCATGTGAATGCTTTTGGATTTCCGCCTACTGAGCCTTCTGCTACCACTAGGTATAAAACTGACTTTCGGCAGCCTCACTCCATATTTTGTTATGGGTTTCTAAGTAAGCACGTTATTATTTTATAATTTCTGTGACATTAAAGTATGCTATTCTTCCCCCTCCCCAAATGCTTCAAAATAAATACAATTTTAAGGAAGCAATTCTGGGACTTGCTGGTCTACTTGGACCAGTACTAAAGCCTGTAGTGTTAGCAGAAAAACCCTTCCAAAGGCCGTTGGGTTCTGCATATAATAACAATTGGGATCTAAGCCCTTCTCAGTTGCAGAACTAGATAACTATTACGTGAGAGTAAGAAATTCCTTGTTGCTCAGGGAATGGATGGGGGGGAGAACCGAGGATAAATATTACCCTGAGATGATCTGTTAAATTACAGCAGGGCAGCGCCCCTGCTTTATATCCAGGTGACTGCCATTTCTCTTCCTTGGTTTCTCTGTGAAGTACTAGATGATTATTGATGCCATCTGAGCTATCTATCATAATAATAATAATTAAAATGGCTTAAGTGAGTCATAATTAAAACTACTAACTATTTGGGAAGAAAACAGAACTAACTTGAATATTTTAATGATGTAGAGCCTTCTATGGGAATGTAAACTTCTTTGGAGGGCCTTCTTCAGCTTCAGTAAAGGCTTCTGCAAAACTAAAGCAGCTGGAGGATGAAAATGAAGATGCCATGTTTGTATTTCTTTCTGATGTATGGCTGGACCAAGCAGAAGTACTGGAAAAGCTTCACACAATGTTTTTGGGTAGGTGAGAACGGCTTTGCCGCTGAGCCTTGTTTTAAAGAATTTTCACCATATTCCTTAGTCCTTAGCAGCATTGATGGGTGGAGCTGACAAGTGCAGCAAGGCATTCTGATGGCTAGCTAGTCCTTGGTCCCCAGCTGTGTGCTCTCCTTGGCATGGGCTGGGAAGTCTGGCCCCATGGTGAGCTAATTCAGGGAATAGCCCAGCAGAAAACTAATTGCCTTTGTTGGAGAATTACTTTTATGCTGGTGTAGCTTTGTGAACTCTTCATCGTGTGGTTGCTCACGTGAGCATCCCCTGTCCAGGCAGGGGAAGCTGGACAGCGTACAGCTGACAGCAAGACTGTCAGTTTTTTGGATCTTTTCTAGGGTCTGCTAAGTGTTAGGCCAACTTTATTGCCAAAATGTGATCTAAATGTGCTCTTTTGTGAAATAGTGGTTTGGTTGCCTTTTTTTCGGAAGTATACTTTTAAACGAAAAAGTCAGGCAACGATTTTCAAGAGTCCTGTTATTCGTGTGTTGTGCATTTTTGATGAACTTCCATTTTGAGAAAGCTAGAATAAGCCCAACTGTTGCTTTTTTTTTTTTTTGGTAGGATCCCACTGAATCCAAGCCCAAAGCCAGTGAAGTCTCACTCTAATTTTAGTGACAGCTATTTACATTTCATGGTTGCTATTATATTTATTTTGGATCTTTCTCTAACAGTTTAAAAAATTGGATCGTATTATATTTTTGCAAGGTGATACTTCCGGTTCATAAATCACTTCGTACTAATATTGTTTTGGACAGTAGCCATTTTATGTGCTGTGACAAGAATGTTTTCCTTGCTCGTGAAAGTTCTTCTTAGGCTTAGTTTAAAGAAAACGTCTTCATTGGAGATCAGCAGTCCCTCGAATGCTTTCTGGTTCTACCAATGAAAAAATGTCAGTTACTCTTAAAATATGAACTGTTTCTTCCATGCATCATTACATTAGTAATGTTGACAACATTTGGATAGCAAGCATCTGCGAGATCTGTGAATTGCTTCTTTGTATTCCAGAGCACTTTTGGAACAGCTTGTCCTGTCTGTCTTAGGTAGAATGGAAGTGTGAGAGGGTGGCTGCTTTAAAAACAAGCAACATAAAATTAAGGGTGGGAAACTGCTACTCCCTGAAAGAAAATTGGACACAAATTACCACACTCATCCAGAAGTTACGAAACCAGTTCACTATCTTGATCAAAGCTGGCAAGATTCTTGAAGCAAACTGAACTTGACCTAAGATTGCGTATGCTGAAGTAATAAAGGGACTTCAAGTCAGTGAGGTTAATATACTGAACTCAGCTGGCAAAGATGCATACATTGCATTTACTATTTTGAGACTTTTTTTAATAGGCAAGTAATAAGCTTCATAATTACTAACTAAAAATAATAGCTGAGTGGAATAGCAAGGAAAAAACATTGATGAGCCATTTCTCTGGTATAAACAATTCTGTCCTACTTACCAACTGGATTGAAAAATAGTGAAGTAAATCCAAGTCTGGTACTGCGTGTTAGGAAAATGGAGAGTAACCTGGAGCATGAGATGAATGCCTGAGTAGATGGTTTTATTTTTCTTTTAGGGATGGGAATTGGGTTTCTTTTTTCACTCTTTTTTTATAAAGCCTGTGTTTCTGGGTGATTAGTGATAGTTGTGAGGATTCATCAGATTCTTAAAATGCTCAGGCAATTCCAGTTACTGTTCCTTTATAATGCCAAAGAGCAAATTAAATGTTAGTAGAGCCCTTGAACTGGAATGGTGCGTGGAGGTTAACAGTAATCCATTGCTACCTACTTGCTATTATTCTCTTTAAGGAAAGAGTGCATTTTTTAAATTGTATTATTTATTATAATTATACTTTGTGTAATTATATGACTGGGTCAGTAGTCAGTTGGATACACACGAACAGTATTGTTGGAACTGGGCCTGTAAATAACAGGGGGCTCCCTTGAAGTGACATTTGTGCATTGCCATCATCCTTTTTAAGCTAACAAAAGCCTGTATCAAGAAAATAGTTCAGGTGTATTAATAGCAGCAGAGCCTGAAGTGCTGTTTCAGTTTCTGCCTTTCGTGGACTGGACTGGAGGCTGAATGATGACAGATACTGAAGTGAATGGATGTTATACTCACAGATACTCTGTTTTCCCAGGTTATTCCTCTGCACCTCCAACCTGCTTTTTCTTTTGTGGAAATTTTTCATCTGCACCATATGGAAAAAATCAGATTCAGTCACTGAAAGGTGGGGAAGTCTTTGTATACAGTCAGACATGTACATTAAATTAAAATAATGGTGGCAAAACAAATTAAGAGAGCAGAAAAGAAACCCTTATTTTCTAAGTGAGACATTTTTTATTGTATTGAAGTATGGGGGTGATTCATATAATCTGTGTTTATTGTCTAACCAGGTCTTGTATCATAGATTTTTTTTTTCCTGACTCTAGGTTCTTTGAAGGCTCTTGCAGATATTATTTGTGAATATCCCAGCATTCATAAAAGGTACACAGCAAAGTGCTATGAAAAGGGAAATTTGTTTATTTTGTGAAACCTTTGCTTTAATTACTTTAAGAAACTAACAGATACCATGTTTTCTCATTATTGTGAGCCAGCTATGATCAGATAGCAAGCTGGTCTTGTAACAGGCCTGTAAGTTTGTTTTGGGAGCGGTGTAAGGTTTTGATTTTATCTAAAATAGCTTGGTCATGGAAGCTGCTAGAGTGAACAAAAGTGAAACTCCATCTCCTGGGAACATTTTCCACATGGATTAAACATGGCCCATGATTCCCCAAAAGTGCTATTTGAGTGAGCCCTTTTTCTCCCTGGAATTCCCTTGAAATCAGCAGGGTTCTGCCCGAGCAGTGCTGCTTTATAAACGGATGTTGAAGTCTTGATGCTGCTACGAGCACCTACAGGCTTTCTGTACCAGCCCCAGAAAGTGTCATCTGAAACACGGACTGCTGCCTACGTGGAGGCATCTCATTTCTATCTTGTCCATTCTTGCATACACAGTTCTCCACGGCTGTGCATTTGAGAACTAACCAAAGCAACGCAGTCCTGCAAAGCGATCTTTTATTTATCCCCTCTTGTGTCCCTGCTCTGTGGGAGCCCCATTCCAGGCCTGGAGAACTAAATCCCTTTTACAGAGATTTGAATATACAAAGGGAAGTGAAATAGGGAGACAGCCAGGCTTATCCCTTCTGGCTTCCGATCTTCGAATTCCTAACAGTAGCCCCTAAGTAGAGCTAGTTCCTAGAATGGGCCCCCCAAAAGCAGGAAAGGCCACAGCCTGGAGCTCTTGAGCTCTGTGTAAGATGTAAGCAAGGATATCTCCTGTACTGATCCTCCGTCCTGTGTCCCGGTGGGGCTTTCTTGGTGTGCCGCTGCCAGATTATCTGGGGTCCCTGCATGAGATCCTGGAGCCCATTACCACCGAGTCCTGAGCCAGGCTGCACAACCTGGTCTGTCTCCCTTCCCGCAGTCAGTCCCCCTTGCACAGTGAACGGTTTTTAAGGTTTCTTCCACTTTAGTGAGAAGTGGATATGTATCTTACGCCTTAGCCGTGATTTATGTGGTTCATAAGGCCAGGAAGAGCTGTCATCTCTGCCCCAGAATAGGTTATTTATTGGCATGCATCTGTGGGATAACGGCAGTATGTAACCAATGTTTAGATAATTCTAGGATCATTTTATATAAAAGCGATGCGTTGAACTTTTTACAGTAGTCGATTTGTGTTTGTTCCTGGCCCTGAAGACCCTGGTCCTGGTTCAATTTTACCAAGGTCAGTTTGCTTCACTGTTTCAAATTTTGGAATTTTTAGTTAAATAGTTAAAGAAGGTAAGAGTCTTGGTTGATACATCTGTTGCTGTTTATTTTAGACCTCCCCTGGCTGAAAATATTACTGAGGAATTCAGACAGCTGGTGCCATTTTCAGTTTTCACCACAAATCCTTGCAGGTGACAGTGTAACTTACTGCTGTTTTTCATGTTGTTGGTTTTTTTTTTAACTGAATGACTAATTTATGTGCAGATGTAATTTTCAAAAATTACAAATTTTGGAAAAATTTGTCTTAAATTTTTCAAATTATTAGAATTCCTCACTTGCATTAATTGTAACTGGTTTTAAATACATTAATACATAAATAAATCAGTGATGAAAGGAAGTAGTGCTAAAAGTTTGATAGCGAGTATCAAAAGCATCATGTTTTTTCTGAATCTGGGGTGAAAGAAGGGAAGATGGGAAAGTATTCTTTTAATTGAAATGTGCTTTTTCATTTTGCTATATTAGAGGGAGATCAACTTTTTAATGCAGCTCCCTATCTTTTAGTTTCATGTCAATTTATTTAATTTCATTAATGTTTTCCATTTAGGATTCAATATTGCACCCAAGAGATAATTATCTTTCGTGAAGATTTGGTAAACAAAATGTGCAGAAACTGTGTCCGCTTCCCTAGCAGCAACATGGATATTCCCAACCATGTGAGTGAGTTGTGTTCAGCACTTCTTGCTAAGATCTCCTTGACTTCTTTTTTTTAATCAGCAGGTCTGCATTTAGGGTGCTCTGATCTGCATTCTCACGACACGTTGCAAGAGTAACCAAGAGGGATTGCAAGAAGGATCTATACATTTAGCATTAGTGCCTTCATTTCTGTCTTGACAGTAAAATAACTGAAACCGTGATGCTGATTGATGGCACCGAGTCATGGCTGTCCTGCTGCAGGTGCCCTTGAACGCAGAACTTTGTAACAGCTGACTCTTGGTGTATGTGCACCAGCAAGGAATGTTGTACCAAGAAACATTGATTCCTAAAGGCAAAGTTTAATACAAATTACCTTTTTTTAAAGATTTGATCAATTAACCAGTGACATTTGCAGTAAAGCAGCATGTCACTTTTCCAAAAGGTCATCTGCTGCTTCTGCCTTTTCACTTGAAGTCTTAATCCTGCTTTTGAGACATGGCCACAGCGCTCTGAGTTATGATTCTAGTTAATGAATGCACAGCAGCAGTTGATGTGACTTGCTGATATAATTGAATGAGAATGATCCAGGCAGCACTGGCTCATTGCAGTGATGGATGGAGTCTGTTTCTATTTATTTTATAGGGTTTTGTTCGTTTGTTTGTTTGACTCGGAAACTTCTTTTAGCTCTTTCTTCCTTTGCTCCATCATGACGGTGCTCAGTTTCTTTGTGAACATAGGGAAGCCATTGTGGACACTGATGCACCTTGCTTTTGGTGTGCACGTTTGCATACATGTATGTGTACGCTGCCGGCCACCACTTCCCTGTACTCATACATGGCTATCTCATGCTTGGAAGGGAAAGAATCATGAAGGAAATGTAGAATTATGTATTGCAACACTTTCTGCAGATAAGAGTATTGGGTTGCTTTTGCATACTTCAGTTTTTCTCTGCCTTTTCTGCCTGTCATTAGCTTTTTAATTCGGCCATCGGCATAAAAAGATGAATGAAAGAAGGAAATTTTGTTACTAACATGAGATTGAATTAATAGTGACTTTAGGCCTCGGACAGTATTAGTGGAATAACTGGGCCTTTGCTTGGTACATTATTTTCTTTCAACAGCAGACCCTTCCACCAAGTCGCTGTAGTGGTTTTGGCCCTTTGGGGAAAACGGAGCCTAATGGCAGCTACATGGTGGATTAGAGATTATAAAAGCTTTCGAGGGGCTTGAGGAGAGAGTTTCAGGAACCAAAATACCCTGGCTGGAATTTGCCAAGTGAAAAAGCAAATGAAAGGGGGCAGCTGGTGTCTGCAGCTCTGAGAACAGCCAAAGGAATCGAAATCATCTGGGAATCGAATGATGTCCCCAGTTCAGGGAAAAGACTCTGTTTAAGTGTGGGTCATGTGGTTAACCGGCACTGCGAGGAAAGCCACAAGGGGAAAAAAAAAACCACAAAAGAAAAGTTATGGCAGTGTTGGTACTTCCTGGAGGAACAGGTAAGCAGATTCTACAGTTTGTTGGAGAGTCTGATCGATGAAATAGTTTTGACATCTTCAAATATTGGCTGATACGTTTTAGAAAGGACTTTGTGTATTTTAAAAAAAACCCACCGCAACAAACCACACAGCAGCTGACTGTTGTAGGGGAGTTGCTGCTTTACTCTAGAAATCGCTAATAACCGGAGGGAGTGAGATACACAAAAAATATTTCCAGGTTCAAAGCTTCTTTATTAACAGGGCATTAGCATCTGCAGGAATGAGTTTGACTTGTAGAAAATGGCTCAAACTATTTATGTTTATTTTGCAGTTTGTAAAGACTATATTATCACAAGGACACCTGACGCCACTTCCGCTGTACGTTAGCCCTGTGTACTGGGCCTACGACTACTCCCTGAGGGTGTATCCTGTGCCAGATATGCTCGTCATTGCAGATAAATACGACCCGTTCACTGTCACCAACACTGACTGTCTTTGCATAAATCCTGTAAGATTTCCTTATGCTTTACCAAAATAAGAAGGGGGTGCAGTCACATCCAGGTGTGTCTCTTACTATTTGTACAGTATTTCACTTAGACAAGCGTGGTATATTCATTTTTCTTTACAGGGTTCATTTCCAAGAAGTGGATTTTCATTCAAGGTATTCTACCCCTCCAACAAGACAGTTGAAGACAGGTAAATATATTCAGTTTCTCATTTAAAAGGAAGTACCTTCTTATTTGCTGACTTTCTGATTATCAGGAGAACACAGAAAATTGATTATATAAAGAGTGAATGTTCTAGCAGTTTAACATAGACTTATGCTTCATACTTAGCAGTGTAAGGAATCCAAATGCCCAGAACTAAAATAATAAATTTAGAAATTAGTCCAATAACAATGATGAGCAGCATGATCCAAAAGTAAAGGGAAAGATAGACTGTACTATATGATTTTCAATAATTGAGACCCAGTTGGGAAACAGATTCGTTTCTGGAGATGATGCTTGTTACATAGGTTAATTACACTTAGGAACAATTCTTGCTTCATTTTGTGATCATCGTCAAGCCCGGAAGCCGCTTTCATGCTTTGATTTAATGTATTTTAAACCTGTACTTACTCATTCCGACTGTGGTCTTGCAATGCCTGGAAAAAAGGCCAGCTGCAACTACTTTTCAAAGGCCAGCCCTTTGAAAAGTATCAAAGGGCTTACGACTGTGATGAAAAGTTGCCTGTTTGAAATAATGATGGCAGAACCCAATGGGGAAGGCGCAGTTACCTTGCCTGATTCACTGCCACGCCTTGTTGCAGAAGTTGCGTTTGTCTCAAACTGGGGCGTGTAACACCCCCCACCCTCCCAAGGGAATTGCTACTACATCGACCCCTGTAAGCTTTACTTGAATATAGAAAATATCGTACCATGAGATGCTTTAGGTCTTTAAATAGTTCAGAACATTATCAAGTCTTTCATAAATCAAGGAATAGAATAATACGTTATTTATTGTGAAGTTGCTTTTTAAAAACTACATACTGTTTTTGTTTGGTATTTTCAGCAAGCTTCAGGGTCTCTGAATTTCTGCGGGACTGCAAAAAGGGAGTGAGCCTTTGTAAAGCCAACTAGCACTCAGTTGAGATGGATTGATTTTTATGATGTATCATGGACTGTTTATAATAAACGTCAAAGCCAAAAATGGTGTATTTTGTACACAAATGAACTTTCACAGGAAACGATACTGGTGTTAATTGAGTGAAATGAAGATTAATTGGCAAAGCATAATAAAAGAAGGCAACTGGAGGAACCAGAAGCACGTATCTCAAACAGGAAATATCTAGCTTTTAAAAAAAGAAGTTAAAGATGGGGAGAACTTCGTCTTTCACCACGCTGAGTTGAACTGATAGCTAGTTACCTACAGGAGATACTGGAAATGCGGGCTGGGGTTTTTCTTTGGACAGGAAAGCTCTGGAGAAGATTGTGAGGCGCTATTTACTAATGGCAGTATATAATCTGTTTGCGGCTAGTGTTATGCAGGCAGGGCGAGGAGAGGTAAGAGGAACAAGGACACGGTCCTTTGAAGCTTCTGCAGAAGGCAGGGAGGAGGAAATCT